CACAACAATTTATCATGCATAAACAACTTTGAATTTGCAAGATTTCGGAATTTGACGCATCTTGACCTGTCCTACAATGTCGTAAACGCCATCGAGGAAGATGGTTTTGAAAACATGAGCAGTTTGAGAGTCCTTAATTTATCCCACAGTATTATCGAGCCATCTGTATTAACGATAAATTCGTTCAGAGGGTTACACAACCTTAAAACGCTCTGGCTGAATAACTACAATATGACTGAATACCCCGACGAAGCTCTGAGCCGGCTTACATCATTGGAAACTCTCTTCATCAATGGCGTTCCAGATGGGGAATTTGGACCGGGCTTCAGGAACCTTACAAAACTAACTCATCTTACCGCCTCTGGGAAAAACGGATTTTGTAACCAAACAACACTGTCAGCATCTACATTTAATAACACTGTTTTCTTGGAATATTTGGATGTATCAAAATGTTTTATTATCCACATTGAAAATGAGACCTTTTCGCAACTGAGGAAACTAAGAACGCTTGATATATCTGGTAATTCTAGACTCACATTTCAATCATTTGGCATCGGAACGTATGGACTACAGTTCACGAACATCACAACCCTGAAAGCCAATCACATCGTGTTAAGGCATACTAGTTGTGTAGTAATTCGCAAGGCACATGTTGTTCACCTCTTCAACACCTCCCTAGAAAATCTGTACATTGATTCCAACGAAATTGTAGATATTGAGATGAAGGCGCTGGAGCTCTTGCCCAAGACTCTACGATTCGTATCGGCCCAGAGGAATAAATTCAGCTACGGACAATATCTACGTGACTTAGCTTCTCTCACGGGACTCGAGGAAATTTGGTTAAGTGGACAACCATACCCAATTAATGTTCCAAACGATGACACTGTCGATGACCAAACGTGTGCCCAGTCTGAGACACCGTATTGTTTCCATGATGAGATAGACGAACGTGATGTTCTTGAAAGTGAACTTCAATCTCGCAGTGTCTGGTACGAATCAGAGACAGTTAGTGATCGTTTTTCACCTCTTTTCAACTTATCACTCCCGCCGAATCTGAAGACGATAGTGTCGAACTTCACACAAATGGCGTTCCAGATCGGGAAAATACGCTTTGAAGCATCAAATCTATCCTATCTTGATCTGTCCAGTAATCTTGTCATCTTTGACAATGGATATATAAGAGGGCTAGATAATGTTACATACATAGATCTATCCAATAATCTAGCCAGGAAAATGTCTCCTACATTACTCGCAAACTCCTTGAATCTTCGCACGTTGAACATGTCGTATAATTTCTTTGGTTGGCAGATACAGAGAGATACCAAGGGTGAAATATTCAAAAACCTGACTCAACTTACAGAGTTGGTTATTTCCAATAATGATTTGAAAGGGCTGAGAGGTGATGTATTACGCGATCTGTATTCCTTACAGATTTTAAACGTGTCAAATAACGGAATGTACAACTTTAACGCCAAAATCAACCACTTGATTCATCTACAGGTCATAGACTGTTCACACAACCAAATATCGTGGTTGTCACGAAAGGTCATGGATGATATCAAGGAAATTAAATCGAAGGTTCCAAACTTAACATTACATCTTCAAGGTAATCCATTATCATGTTCCTGCAATCAGCTTCCGTTTCTCAAATGGCTGCTAACTTCGGGGATAACACCTGATAATATGAATGGCTACTATTGTCTACTGGCCAACACGAGCAGAAGAAACATCCTGAACAAGGCGGACTTTGCGAAACTGATAGATGAGCAAACCGCAGAGTGTCAAAACAACTTCGGACTCGCTCTAGGATGTGTATCCGTCTTCGTCGCAGTTATTGCACTGATGGTTTCTGCAATCGTCTATCGGTACAGATGGAAGTTAAGGTATCTGTATTACGCTGCAAGGTTACGTTACATGACGGACAACGACGCTGAAGAAGAGCAAGATCAGTTCGCATTCGACGCCTTTGTCTCCTATGCTGATGAAGACCGAGGGTTTGTCATTAATGACATGAGAGCGCATTTGGAACACGATGCCAGTATGACTCTCAACATCCACCACCGTGACTTCATGCCAGGAGAGCCTATTGCTTCAAACATCGTTGGCGCCATCAAGAAGAGCAGGAAGACGGTGGTGGTTCTGTCCCAGAACTTTCTCAACAGTTACTGGTGCACGTACGAACTGCGCATGGCCCAGATGGAGAGCATCAGTAGTGGGAGGGACATCATCATCATCATCATGTATGAGTCAGTACCCGCTAAGAATATCCCACCGGAGTTTCTTCATATGCTGCAGTCTGATTCCTATATTGAGTACCCGCACGGTGAAGCTGACAGTCACATCTTCTGGAAACACATAGGGCGGGCCTTGCGACATCGATCACATCGTCAGAATTCGATCAGTTCGTCGTCGCAGGCTGTTCCATAGTACCAGTGAACATTACATATATCTGATACATTATTGTACTGAAATCTATTTGACATCCGATGCCTTCCGGTGACTGTATTGTTTATAGAACCATTGGAACCATTCCGACGGATGCGTAAATCAACAGCAAAAAGCTTATACTTTACCAACATGGCAACAACTGATCTTTGTAATCTCCGCAACTCAAGGGGGGCACGGGTGGCCCAGTCGTCTAAGGCGCCGCGATTCGCTGTGCAGAGTTGCGTCCCTTGGGCACGCAAGAAACCAATGATTGTGGGTTCGAGTCCCGGTTCGCCCCGATTATGTTTCTAGGTTTGTCAGCACCATACCCGTGCTCGTGGGTTTCACCGAAGTGGTAAACGTCTTAGACCTGCATCACTTCGGGCTTTCCTCCCACATTAAGCTGACACACCGCGATATAACTGAGATACTGTTAAAAGTGGCGTTAAACTGAACTCACTCACTCACTCACTCTGCAACTCAAGCTCCTTACAGCAAAACGGAGTCGCATAATGTATCTTAGCACTGATATTTTTACAGAGCCGAAAACCGAGCTTGATCTGACCTGTCAATTTGGCGACATAATTCTTTGAATATAAATCACAAATGGTTTTCAAATTTTGGTAATGAGAAACACGATAATGATAAACTTAAGATATTTAGTTGTAGGCTTATCCCTAGAGGAATAAGGCTTATGTGCCCAATAGGATCGGAGTTCACGACCGCATAGAGGGCACTTCAACCGTATTCCCGAGATGATAAGCCTACAAATTATAACATATGTACTCCATCTGTTTAATCTTCTACCACTTCATCGGTGCTGTGTCACCAGTTCCCTGTACCGTATTTCCTCTGACAGACGCTGGAGAAAAAGCAAAATTATAGAGGCTGCATTTCTGAAAGTTACATAATGTATCAGTAATCAGCCAACAGCGAACTGAACTGTCGGGTCCGTCAATATAGAAGAAGTCGGGTCTCCAATAATTGTCAGGTCAGTATATTGTCAAATGTGTTTATTAAGTAAAGATATTGTGTACCTATTGTGTACATACATAGTAATGAAACGTTGAAATACAGTGCATATTATGAATCTAAGTGTTTTGTTAGTAACAGCATTTATTATTACATACATGTGTATATATGTGTATATTGTGTAGATACAGGAAAATGAAACGTTGAAATGCAATGTATATAATGTTTTTGTCAGTAATAGCAATTATTATTGATTTTATAAGTGCATGGGACCATAAAAGAGATAAACAATGTTTCGCTTCAAACTGATGTATATATAGTATACATAACCTGCTGTAATGTAGGAGTTCATGTTGATTGATAGTCTAGTCCGTCAACATATATTTGCTAGTACAAAGAAACATGTATGCATGATCATTTTATATCAGTCGAATATAAACCATGTTATATGAGTAGGCACAATTGTTATTAAAGATAGATATCAGGAATAAAACATTGTTTGATTTTTCACCATGACATACATTTCAATAGAATCGAAAATGATTTTCTCTCATACGTGGCATTACCCCGGCAGAACGTATGCTTGTCGTAAGAGGCGACCAAATGGATCGCGTGGTCGGGTCCATGATCCATGGGTCCATGATGCCAATAACCAGACTGTCTGGCTCAGACTCCAAGAGACCTTGTTGATTGTGTACCAATCATTTGGCCTGGCCAAGAACCTGCTATTTACAGGCCGCATATATATATATATATATATATTTGTATGTATGTATGTATGTATGTATGTATGTATGTATGTATGTATGTATGTATGTATGTATGTATGTATGTATGTATGTATGTATGTATGTATGTATGTATGTATGTATGTATGTATGTATGTATGTATGTATGTATGTATGTATGTATGTATGTATGTATGTATGTATGTATGTATGTATGTATGTATGTATGTATGTATGTATGTATGTATGTATGTATGTATGTATGTATGTATGTATGTTAAATACCCAGCCAAGGTTCCACTCGTTTTCTGTCTATGGTCGTGGAATACAAATTCTAACTTACAGTGCTAAGCTGAGTTTTAGTTTATTTTTAACTCTTGTGACTATCATGTGAGTTTGAAACCACAGGCAATTCGACACATCCGGATTAAATAGTTATAAATCAAATAAGAGAGTGCCGGGACTGGACTGGGAGTCCATCACTTCCTAGTTCGAGAGAGTGCGCAGATCCAAATGTGACAGTGGAATGGAAAATAATTCTAGCATGCAAGAACTAGCAAATTCCTGAGGGCAAAGCCGATGCTTCACCTTCATTTAATATTTACAGGAAAATAATAGTTAAACGAGGAAATTAATGAACTTATTCGATGCAGTTTTCTTATTGATAAGGGTAACGTTTCAGTAAACATTCAGAATGACGCGCATAAATAGTATTAATAGTAGTAGTAGCAGTAGTAGTAGTAGTAGTAGTAGTAGTAGTAGTAGTAGTAGTAGTAGTTTGTTTGCTGTTTAACGCCGCACTTAGCAATATTCCAGCTATATGACGGCGGTCTGTAAAAAATCGAATCTGGACCAGGCAATCCAGTAAATGATGGCATGTGCATCGATCTACGCAATTGGGATCGATGACATGCTTCAGTCAAGTCAGCGAGCCTGACCACCCGGCCAAGTTAATCGCCTCTTTATGATAAGCATTTACGGCAAGCATGGGTTGCTGAAGACCAATTTTACCCCAGATCTTCACGGGTCAGTAGTAGTAGTAGTAGTAGTAGTAGTAGTAGTAGTAGTAGTAGTAGTAGTAGTAGTAGTAGTAGCAGTAGTCCGGATTAACAACGTTTCGCACAAACGAATCATTGGCACGGATATATGCCTTGTGTACAAATGTAGACATTCCTAACGGTAATCATCCCGAAAGCACAGGGTACGGACTAACGAGGTGTCACCGTGTCCCTCATAGCCGGTCTCAGTCACATACAATGTCGATTTACCTTGCACGAACCGAAAATGAAAAATATAGGGAGATTAGAATCAGGAAAATTGTCGTGTCATATTTCACAACATCCTTGTAGCTTGAAAATAAAGTAGACCATTTGACTAGCCATGACCTTGCGTTTGAGGAAATAATTCCCACTGAGCAACTCTTCCCCGTTTCGCCGGCCGCTTAACACTAACGCTCCTACTATCCCCGTCAGTGAAAGTAAAAAGATATTATGAATTAGTTTAATTGTTAATACACAGATATATCCAATATTAATTTATTATCCTAAGGGAAATTGTCGTATCATATCTTATTAAAACATTTCGACCAGTCATGTCCTTTCGTGTAAGAAAATAATATATTCCAACTGACCAGCTTTTCAAAGTTTCGCTGGCAGTATTACAGTGATATGACAACAGCTTTCCCCAGCAGTGAAAATACAAGGTGTTATGAATTCTTATAACTAACACGAAACTTAAAGGATTCTAATGTGTACTCACGTACTCATGCGAATGCCTCTGTCCTTCAAATGACTTTCTTGTATCTACGTCCTTGTACCACCGTCAGTGTGTTTTTTATGGAAATAAACAATGTCAAATGTTTACCAGAAAACAGAAACCCCCGATAACAGCTCTTTCTGGTTGCCGCGCTCACAATCACATAAAGAGTGACTGTTTGAGGAGATCACTTTTGCGACGCTGGCCAGTGCTTGGAGTGGATGTCTGGTGTCATCATGGCGGCTTTCAGTAAGTCCTCGCTTCCTTTTCATAATAATACGATGTGATTCGATGCATCCAGTGTACTAATTATGTACCGTTGATAACGAGTGATCCGTTATTTTACAAACTGTCACACAGAAATGTATAATGTAACAGAAGTTTACCGAACAATGTCAGGGGTGGAAACAGCTTTTCTGAAAACAGTGGGTGCAGATTTTTAATTTTTAAAAATAAAACATCTGTGTTCGCGCCTTCGACGCCTTTGCTCCTTCAACATGACAATCTCGCATTGACACGCCCCGCTTTCACGCTTTAGGAACCGATACAGGTTTCCAAGGAGGGGGAAGGAAGGAGGGATGCATAATATTATGTTCCCACTTGTCATCTTGTCACTGACATTCATAAAAGCGCAAGGAAATATTGTATGCTGAGTGCACAGGAACTTTTTATTAGTCAGTTGTAGGAATATACGACCCGAGTACAATATTACAAACATCTCTTTCCTTACACTGTATCGGGATCGTATACTTCACAAACTGACCAATAACAAGTTCATGTGAGTGAGTGAGTGAGTTGGGTTTAACGCCGCTTTTAACATTATTTCAGTTATATCACGGCGTGTCAGCTTAATGTGGGAGGAAAGTGATGCAGGTCTAAGACGTTTACCACTTCGGTGAAACCCACGAGCACATGTATGGTGCTGACAAACCTAGAAACAAAATCAGGGCGAACTGGGATTCGAACTCACAATCATAGGTTTCTGGCGTGCCCAAGGGACGCAACTCTGCACAGCGAATCGCGGCGCCTTAGACGACTGGGCCACCCGTGCCCCCCAAACGTTCATGTGCTGAATGCAGGTGATAAGCGGATACCATGAAGCCATACAGATCCAAACCACAATGACATTATTTGAGATATCAGCAATCTAAAATATTCAAGTTTGATTCCTGAATGAAGTATATATAACTGTCCAACGTATCTGATCAAAGCCTTTTATTAATACAATTAATAACCTAAATCACGGCATAAAAATATACATGAACAGATTTAATTTATTATAAATCACATTTTTGTTTTGAATGCCATAATGAACCAAACCAAGGAATACATGTATGTGGTTGGCATATATATACCTTTTGATACCAATGGATCGTTATCTCTGATATTACTCAGGTGGGCTTTGTTTGTTGGAGATTTTGCCAGATATATCGCTATTTGTGCCATCATGTTCCATACAAGACAAAGAACCTTTGAACATGGGTTGGTTGGTTGGTTTGTTGGTTGGTTGTTTAACGCCGCACTTAGCAATATTCCAGCTATATGACGGCGGTCTGTAAATAATCGAGTATGGACCAGACAATCTAGTAATTAATATCATGAGCATCGATCAACGCAATTCGGATCGATGACATGCATCAACAAAGTAAGCGAGCCTCATCACCCGATCCCGTTAGACGCCTCTTACGACAAGCATAGTCACCTCTTACGGCAAGCATGTGTTGCTGAAGACCTATTCTACCCCGGATCTTCACGGGTCTTGAACATGGGAATACACTTCAAACTTCATTTATATATGGGTGTAGTTTCGTTCATTATGGCTTTGTGGTATCTCAATATAGGAATAATAAAACAAGTCACACTTGACTGCTCTCACGTGTGTGCAGGTTCGCATAATGATAACCCCATGATAAGGCAGCTTAACCAATACTGAGATGCACCCATTTTCAATACGAATAGTCCATGTGCAGAAAACCTACAAAATTCAAAGTTTATTCTGATATGCCGGCCAGTGTTTGTATGTAAACCACTATTCCGACGTACCCTGTTTTTATCCCCAATTACGTAGTTTTAAACATGTTAAACCAAAGTCAACTTGTTTGAATAAAAAAAATTGCTTTTAATTAAATTTTGTTTACTTATTTAATTTTTGTGCGCCCCGACCCACTTACGGAATCTCACTACTTTTAGCATGATCTCAATCAATCAAACGACAGTCTTGACTGGACGGATGTGAGCTAAACATTTCTACGATGACAATGTCAAAGTCCAAGGCCTTTGTGTAGATTCCAGATAAAACTGTTTGATTAATTATCGTATTCCTCAAAGACTTAAGATAGCTTTCCAACCGGCCCACTTGCACAAAACGATCTTATTGCTAAGATGATCGTAACTCCCATACTATAACATAGGCTTACGATAGTCGTAGCGCTAAGATCGCTCTGTGCAAGTGGACATTGTCCTTCAACAGCTCTGCTATCTCTGTATCAATCAGCTCTCTAAAAATATTAAGGAAATAAATTCACTAGAAACAGGAGCACGCCATCTACAGCTCGTGATCACTTCAAGGTAGTTAATTCGGAAATATATGCACAAGAAACAGGGGTACGACATCTACGTATACCGCTCATGATCACTTCAAGGTACTAGATATTTTTTTTAATATATGCACTAAAAACAAGGTATGCCATCTACAGCTCATGATCACTTCAAGCTACTAGTTTATTTGGAAATAAATGCACTAGAATCAGGGGTACGACATCTACGTATACCGCTCATGATCACTTCACGGTACATGTACTAGTTTATTAGGAAATAAATGCACTAGGACCAGGGGTACGACATCTACGTATACAGTTCATGATTACTTCAAGGTACTAGTTTAATAGGAAATAAATGCACGAGAACAAGGGGTACGACATCTACGTATACAGTTCATGATCACTTCAAGGTACTAGTTTACTAGGAAATAAATGCACTAGAACCGGGGGCATGACATCTACGTATACAGCTCATGATCACTTGAAGGTACTAGTTTATTAGGAAATAAATGCACTAGAACCGGGGGCATGACATCTACGTATACAGCTCATGATCACTTCAAGGTACTAGTTTATTAGGAAATAAATGCACCAGAACAAGGGGTACGACATCTACGTATACAGTTCACGATCACTTCAGGGTACTAGGAGGAAATAAATGCACTAGAAACAGGGCAGACGTGGTTGTGTTAAGCATTGTACATCCCCATTCAGGAAAAGCATATTACATCATAACATTCATAAGTATGATTGCTCGTCAAACAATAGTTTCTTTAGCTCACATTATTTATATCGCAACCGAGCTGCAAGCAACTAAACCTTTTACTATTGAACCCTAATTCCAACATTACAGTTTTCCAAAATATATTTCCATATGTGTTCCTCAAATGAAGTTAAGGACCATCAGATTCTTTCATTACTTCTATAGGGAATCTGTAATGACATGCCTTGTGCTAGTGAACCCATTTTACAACACACACACACACACACACACACGCACACGCACGCACACGCGCACGCACACACACACACACACACACACACGCACACGCGCGCACACACACACACACACACACACACACACACACACACACACACTCCTATCGTTCATAGGGGACAGATAACTTAATAAATAATAATAGTAACTAATTCCATAAGCAATATAAACTCATTACTCCGGACCACGTCAGTCCTGAATTTCTGCTTTCCGTGCGAATTATTAATTGGTAACGTCAATGATCATCTTTAATAACCTTAATTTCAGATACCATCCATGCTGCCATTATCTGCGGAATTTTCGTTCTCTCAGAGAACCAGAATGTCAAGGCCACGGGAAGTGGCAGCAGCAATGTTGACCGGCAAAGATGTAATGTCAGTCATGATAACAAATTAGTCAACTGCAGCTCTCTACATCTAACGTCTCTGTCAAACGTTACAATTCCAGATGGAGTCAACATTCTTCTCCTCGACCACAACAATTTATCATGCATAAACAACTTTGAATTTGCAATGTTTCCGAATTTGACGCATCTTGACCTGTCCTTCAATGTCGTAAACGCCATCGAGGAAGATGGTTTTGAAAACATGAGCAGTTTGAGAGTTCTTAATTTATCCCACAGTATTATCGAGCCATCTGTATTAACGAGAAATTCGTTCAGAGGGTTACACAACCTTAAAACGCTCTGGCTGAATAACAACAGTATGACTGAATACCCCGACGAAGCTCTGAGCCGGCTTACATCCTTGGAAACTCTCTTCATCAATGGCGTTCCAGATGGGGAATTTGGACCGGGCTTCAGGAACCTTACAAAACTAACTCATCTTACCGTTTCTGGGAAACACGGATTTTGTAACAAAACAACACTGTCAGCATTTACATTTAATAACACTGTTTTCTTGGAATATTTGGATGTATCAAAATGTTTAATTTTCCACATTGAAAATGAGACCTTTTCGCAACTGAGGAAACTGAGAACGCTTGATATATCTGGTAATTTTAGACTCACATTTCAATCATTTGGCATCGGAACGTATGGACTACAGTTCACGAACATCACAACCCTGAAAGCCAATCACATCGTGTTAAGGCATACTAGTTGTGTAGTAATTCGCAAGGCACATGTTGTTCACCTCTTCAACACCTCCCTAGAAAATCTGTACATTGATTCCAACGAAATTGTAGATATTGAGATGAAGGCGCTGGAGCTCTTGCCCAAGACTCTACGATTCGTATCGGCCCAGAGGAATAAATTTAGCTACGGACAATATCTACATGACTTAGCTTCTCTCACGGGACTCGAGGAAATTTGGTTAAGTGGACAACCATACCCAATTAATGTTCCAAACGATGACACTGTCGATGACCAAACGTGTGCCCAGTCTGAGACACCGTATTGTTTCCATGATGAGATAGACGAACGTGATGTTCTGGAAAGTGAACTTCAATCTCGCAGTGTCTGGTACGAATCAGAGACAGTTAGTGATCGTTTTTCGTCTCTTTTCAACTTATCACTCCCGCCGAATCTGAAGACGATAGTGTCGAACTTCACACAAATGGCGTTCCAGATCGGGAAAATACGCTTTGAAGCATCAAATCTATCCTATCTTGATCTGTCCAGTAATCTTGTCATCTTTGACAATGGATATATAAGAGGGCTGGATAATGTTACATACATAGATCTATCCAATAATCTAGCCAGGAAAATGTCTCCTACATTACTCGCAAACTCCTTGAACCTTCGCACCTTGAACATGTCGTATAATTTCTTTGGTTGGCAGATACAGAGAGATAAAAAGGGTGAAATATTCAAAAACCTGACTCAACTTACAGAGTTGGTTATTTCCAATAATGATTTGAAAGGGCTGAAAGGTGATGTATTACGCGATCTGTATTCCTTACAGATTTTAAACGTGTCAAATAACGGAATGTACAACTTTAACGCCACAATCAACCACTTGATTCATCTACAGGTCATAGACTGTTCACACAACCAAATATCGTTGTTGTCACCAAAAGTCATGGATGATATCAAGGAAATTAAATCGAAGGTTCCAAACTTAACATTACATCTTCAAGGTAATCCATTATCATGTCTCTGCAATCAGCTTCCGTTTCTCAAATGGCTGCTAACTTCGGGGATAACACCTGATAATATGAATGGCTACTATTGTCTTCTGGCCGACACGAGCAGAAGAAAAATCCTGAACAAGGCGGACTTTGCGAAACTGATAGATGAGCAAACCGCAGAGTGTCAAAACAACTTCGGACTCGCTCTAGGATGTGCATCCGTCTTCGTCGTAGTTATTGCACTGATGGTTTCTGCAATCGTCTATCGGTACAGATGGAAGTTAAGGTATCTGTATTACGCTGCAAGGTTACGTTACATGACGGACAACGACGCTGAAGAAGAGCAAGATCAGTTCGCATTCGACGCCTTTGTCTCCTATGCTGATGAAGACCGAGGGTTTGTCATTAATGACATGAGAGCGCATTTGGAACACGATGCCAGTATGACTCTCAACATCCACCACCGTGACTTCATGCCAGGAGAGCCTATTGCTTCAAACATCGTTGGCGCTATCAAGAAGAGCAGGAAGACGGTGGTGGTTCTGTCCCAGAACTTTCTCAACAGTTACTGGTGCACGTACGAACTGCGCATGGCCCAGATGGAGAGCATCAGTAGTGGGAGGGACATCATCATCATCATCATGTATGAGTCAGTACCCGCTAAGAATATCCCACCGGAGTTTCTTCATATGCTGCAGTCTGATTCCTATATTGAGTACCCGCACGGTGAAGCTGACAGTTACATCTTCTGGAAACACATAGGACGGGCCTTGCGACATCGATCACATCGTCAGAATTCGACCAGTTCGTCGTCGCAGGCTATTCCATAGTACCAGTGAACATTACATATATCTGATACATTATTGTACTGAAATCTATTTGACATCCGATGCCTTCCGGTGACTGTATTGTTTATAGAACCATTGGAACCATTCCGACGGATGTGTAAATCAACAGCGAAAAGCTTATACTTTACCAACATGGCAACAACAGATCTTTGTAATCTCTGCAACTCAAGGGGGGTACGGGAAGACCAGTCGTCTAAGGCGCCGCGATTCGCTGTGCAGAGTTGCGTCCCTTGGGCACGCCAGAAACCAGTGATTGTGGGTTCGAATCCCGGTTCGCCCCGATTTTGTTTCTAGGTTTGTCAGCACCATACCCGTGCTCGTGGGTTTCACCGAAGTGGTAAACGTCTGTGACCTGCATCACTTCGGGCTTTCCTCCCACATTAAGCTGACACGCCGCGATATAACTGGAATACTGTTAAAAGCGGCGTTAAACCAAACTCACTCACTCACTCACTCTGCAACTCAAGCTCCTTACAGCAAAACGGAGTCGCATCACGTAGTAAACTTTCGAAAGAGTCCATGCTCTGTAATAGGCATGCTTTTGACTATGACAGCCACGTTATTTTACATTGTGAAGCGCTGATATCAGAAAGAAATGCGTTTTTCTCTTCTCCCATTGACGTACTTGACGTTCAAAAATATGTTGATTTTGAAATGCAAAATGAAACAGATATGTTATCAGTCTTATTTGGGGCTGAAACAAAATTTACTCACAATCTGGATCAACACACCTGGGAAACTATTATACTTCAATTCTCCTCGTATCTGTACAAACTAAGGGATCTTTTGATATATATCTGTCATCATTTAGGTATCTGAATATGATAAACTGTGTGTAATTGTAAATATGTTATGCCTTTTTTTATTGTGTTAACTGCGTGTAATTGAATATATTTTCATTGTAATCTTGGGAATGGCATCTGGAGGAAATAAAGAATCTGTCTCTCTCTCTCTCTCTCTCTCTCTCTCTCTCTCTCTCTCTCTCTCTCTCTCTCTCTCTCTCTCTCTCTCTCTCTCTCTCTCTCTCTCTCTCTCTCTAATGTATCTTAGCACTGATATTTTTATGTGCGTGTTGCACAGAGCCTAGAACCGAGCTTGATCTGACCTGTCAATTTGGCGACATAATTCTTTGAATATAAATCACAAATGGTTTTCAAATTTTGGTAATGATAAACACGATAATGATAAACTTAAGATATTTAGTTGTAGGCTTATCCCTAGAGGAATAAGGCTAATGTGCCCAATAGGATCGGAGTACACGACCGCATAGAGGGTACTTCAACCGTATTCCCGAGATGATAAGCCTACAAATTATTACATATGTACTCCATCTGTTTAATCTTCTACCACTACATCGGTGCTGTGTCACCAGTTCCCTGTACCGTATTTCCTCTGACAGACGCTGGAGAGAAAACAATAGAGGCTGCATTTCTGAAAATAACATAATGTATCAGTAATCAGCCAACAGCGAACTGAACTGTCGGGTCCGTCAATATAGAGGATGTCGGGTCTCCAATAATTGTCAGGTCAGTATATTGTCAAATGTGTTTATTAAGTAAAGATATTGTGTACCTATTGTGTACATACATAGTAATGAAACGTTGAAATACAGTGCATATTATGAATCTAAGTGTTTTGTTAGTAACAGCATTTATTATTACATACATGTGTATATATGTGTATATTGTGTAGATACAGGAAAATGAAACGTTGAAATGCAATGTATATAATGTTTTTGTCAGTAATAGCAATTATTATTGATTTTATAAGTGCATGGGACCATGAAAGAGATAAACAATGTTTTGCTTCAAACTGATGTATATATAGTATACATAACCTGCTGTATTGTAGGAGTTCATGTTGATTGATAGTCTAGTCCGTCAACATATATTTGCTAGTACAAAGAAACATGTATGCATGATCATTTTATATCAGTCGAATATAAGCCATGTTATATGAGTAGGCACAATTGTTATTAAAGATAGATATCAGGAATATAACATTGTTTGATTTTTCACCATGACATACATTTCAATAGAATAGAAGTGCTGTGTTTGGCGATATATATATATATATATATATATATATATGTATGTATGTATGTATGTATGTATGTATGTATGTATGTATGTATGTATGTATGTATGTATGTATGTATGTATGTATGTGTTTATATTGCCTGTCAGAGGCGAGACATTTATCAGCATGCATATTTACCCATAACCTCTCACCTACCTATATAAGTATACATAACATTTTTTTGACGTCACTTGGTGTGACGCGGCCGACGGATAAACCACCCATCTTCCGCTGAAGATTTATGAAAACCTTCTTTACAGGTACAGGTTAAAATTAAGTACAAATCCACTTCAGCAGAGGTACAGGTTAAACATTAAGTACAAATCTACTTCAGCAGAGGTACAGGTTAAACATTTAGCACAAATCCACTTCAGCAGCGGTACAGGTTAAACATTTAGCACAAATCTACTTCAGCAGAGGTACAGGTTAAACATTTAGCACAAATCTACTTCAGCAGAGGTACAGGTTAAACATTTAGCACAAATCTACTTCAGCAGAGGTACAGGTTAAACATTTAGCACAAATCTACTTCAGCAGAGGTACAGGTTAAACATTTAGTAGAAATCTACTTCAGCAGAGGTACAGGTTTAACATTTAGCACAATTCTACTTCAGCAGAGGTACAGGTTAAACATTCAGTAGAAATCTACTTCAGCAGAGGTACAGGTTAAACATTTAGAAAAATCTACTTCAGCAGAGGTACAGGTTTAACATTTAGCACAATTCTACTTCAGCAGAGGTACAGGTTAAACATTCAGTAGAAATCTACTTCAACGGAAGTATAGGTTATTAAAAAAATCTCCAGCAGAGGAACAAATTATAACGAATTTATCAAAACCAACTTCAGCGGAGGTTCAGGTTATTATGAAGTCTATACAAAAATACTTCAGCGTAGGTACAGGTTATAAAGTTTGTAAAACCCAAGCAGAGGTAACATGGACTTCATTCCGTCATTGAGCATAGTGAGCCCGTCAATAAAAGTTATCACAGGTGATGATGATGATGATGATGATGTCAGAATCCTCCGAAAACATCTGTATGAGCCGACATGCCACGATGTCACTATTCATACAAAAAGATGATATACAATGGAATACCGATGTCTAGAACTCATTGGGACTAGGGATATGGTTCAACGTATCCGGGGCTCGACATATCCGAATCGACCTTATTACCGTATGAGGAGGAGAAACACCTTATCCATACGCTGGTTCGGCTGAACCATGTCCTTTACGAGAATACCCAGCCAAGGTTCCACTCGTTTTCTGTCTATGGTCGTGGAATACAAATTCTAACTTACAGTGCTAAGCTGAGTTTTAGTTTATTTTTAACTCTTGTGACTATCATGTGAGTTTGAAACCACAGGCAATTCGACACATCCGGATTAAATAGTTATAAATCAAATAAGAGAGTGCCGGGACTGGACTGGGAGTCCATCACTTCCTAGTTCGAGACAAGAGTTACTGTTCAAAGCGGCGTTAAACCAGACTCACTCACTCGCTCACTCAGTATGTACAGATATGAGATATTAGCTGTAAATTTTATACGCAGTGAGGCCACAAGAAACATCTCGTTTACATCACTTTTATTAATGAAATCAGAACTAAAATTTACAATTGAACCAAATGGAAACAATGATACAAAGAAGGAGGGAGTGCGCAGATCCAAATGTGACAGTGGAATGGAAAATAATTCTAGCATGCAAGAACTAGCAAATTCCTGAGGGCAAAGCCGATGCTTCACCTTCATTTAATATTTACAGGAAAATAATAGTTAAACGAGGAAATTAATGAACTTATTCGATGCAGTTTTCTTATTGATAAGGGTAACGTTTCAGTAAACATTCAGAATGACGCGCATAAACAGTATTAATAGTAGGAGTAGCAGTAGTAGTAGTAGTAGTAGTAGTAGTAGTAGTAGTAGTAGTAGTAGTAGTTTGTTTGCTGTTTAACGCCGCACTCAGCAATATTCCAGCTATATGACGGCGGTCTGTAAATAATCGAGTCTGGACCAGGCAATCAAGTGATTGATGGCATGTGCATCGATCTACGCAATTGGGATCGATGACATGCTTCAGTCAAGTCAGCGAGCCTGACAACCCGATCCCGTTAGTCGCCCTTTACGACAAGCATAGTAGCCTTTTACGGCAAGCATGGGTTGCTGAAGACCTATTCTACCCCGGATCTTCACGGGTCAGTAGTAGTAGTAGTAGTAGTAGTAGTAGTAGTAGTAGTAGTAGTAGTCCGGATTAACAACGTTTCGCACTAACGAATCATTGGCACGGATATATGCCTTGTGTACATATGTAGACATCCCTAACGGTAATCATCCCGAAAGCACAGGGTACGGACTAACGAGGTGTCACCGTGTCACTCATAGCCGGCCTGAGTCACATATAATGCCGATTTACTTTGCACGAACTGGAAATGAAAAATATAGGGAGATTTGTATCATATTGTTCTAAAACATCCTCGTAGCCTGAGTGAGTGAGTAAGTGAGTTGGGTTTAACGCCGCTTTTAACAGTATTCCAGTTATATCGCGGTGTGTCAGCTTAATGTGGGAAGAAAGCCCGAAGTGATGCAGGTCTCAGATGTTTACCATTTCGGTGAAACCCACGAGCACGGGTATGATTCTGACAAACCTAGAAACATAATCGGGGCGAACCGGGATTCGAACCCACAATCATAGGTTTCTGGCGTGCCCAAGGGACGCAACTCTGCACAGCGAATCGTGGCGCCTTAGACGACTGGGCCACCCGTGACAATGAATGTGGGTTCGAATCCCGGCTCGCCCCGATTATGTTTCTATGTATGTCAGCACCATACCCGTGCTCGTGGGTTTCACCGAAATGGTAAACGTCTGAGACCTGCATATATTTGGGGTTTTCGTGTCAACAAAACGCACACTGTTACTCCCATTTCCACTGTCGTTCAATTTCAAAACCTTCAAGCTAACAAGGTCTTGGAATAATTGTGCTGTTTGGCACAAAACATGTAAAGCAATATGATTTGTTTCTAAGTTAAGGCAAAATCAGTTGGTACAGTTGTCCAAACACTCTCTCTTCCACAATCGATATATCGTTAGTGCCAAAATCTAAATGGGTCAGATTATGATATGGTGTAAAGTCGTCATTTCCCAATTTACTGATGTTGTTACTTTCCAGAAGGATCACATTGGTGTTTGTA